AGGACGAAGATGTTATATCGACGGCAAAATTAAATAAGCAGTGTATTTCTGGCTTCGCAAGCAATGTTCAACTTTTTCCTGTATAAGTACAGAAGCTTGTCGACAAGTGGAAAAAGTGCTTTGAAAAGGACGATAACTGTGTGGAAAAGAAATATTATATTTGTATGTGTCATATGCATCTCAATCAATGTAATCAATAAAATGTCATATCAATAAAATGTAATTTGCAATTACTTATTGCATTGCTCTCATTTTATTGTTATTATACATTGTAATGTTCATGTTATACATATACTCAGCAAACACAATGTTACATGTAACGTACATGTTAGTTGTAATTTCCTACTGAACAATGTAACTGTTATATAACACATATGTTATATAACAGTTATATTGTTGAGTAGGACATTATAAGTAACATGTATGTTACATGTAACATTGTGTTTGCTGGGTATAAATATAAATCAATAAAGAAATATAAATATATATATATATATATATATATATATATATATATATATATATATATATATGTATGTATGAACTTACTCATTGTGCATCCTCTCCATTATGCTTTGTAGGTCTGCATTGACATTGGTACCTCCAATTTCTGCTGCATAATGGATCAGGTGTAGCTCATTCTATGCGTATGGTTGCGACTGGGTGTGTGCTTGAGAATGTATATGTGGCTGCGAGTCTACATGCACTCGTAAATATGTATGTGGCAATGAGTCCATGTGTTGTTGTAAAGGCATGTTTGATTGCGAGTGTGTACGTGACTGTGATCGCATCAGTAGCTGTGATGGCATCAGTGGCTGTGACTGCGTGTGCGGCTGTGAGAGAGTGTGTGGCTGTGAGTGCGTTTGTGGCTGCATGTGTGACTGTGAGTGCATTTGTGGGTATGATATAACGGAATTGTGGATATCACACTCTTTGTCTTCTAAAATTCTTCTTATTTCCTCTGCATCATCTTCGATGTCAACTTGGGCTCTTTGTACAACATTTTCTGCGGAGATTCATCTGAACTTGTTGTTTGGTACCGCTGTGGTTTGGCAACATAACGTTTTGGCCGATCCATCACTGTAAGTACAAGAACATATCAAACATATGAAAGTACATAATTTATACTATGGATGTACTGTACAATAGTACAATTTTAATAAATATATTATTATTGAAAAGTCACTTCACACACTGTACCAACTGTTTTATTCTCAATGTTTACGTATTTCTCACTATATAATGCACATAACTTTGCATAAAATCATTTAAATTATTTCTGAGAACGTTTCATAATTTTGAGACGAAGGTAAAAAAGTAATTACATGCATAACATTGGTGTAACTGAATGTAGCGATTACAGGAATTAGCAAAATATATAATGTAATAATATATTAATCCATACTTACGTATTTAGTGAGTCTTCCGTGTGAGTAAACAAATATTCCTTTATTGCGCCTTATTATTGCACGTTAATAAAGATCGCATTGAAACAAAACAAAAGCGATGAAATAATGGCCGCCGTACAAATCTTTTGCTGTGGAGGAGGGTGCATTCCAGAAATCGAACAAGCGGAACGGAACAGCAATAGAGCAGAGATAGAGCCAATCAGAATGATTAAGAATAATTGAGAATTATTTTGATTGGCAGAGAAGTAACTTGCTCCAGTTCCATTTCATAGAAGAAGGAGAAGAGAAATAAGTACGCATGCGCAGGAACTTGAGCGCTCAGTGCAGTGATGCAAGTATATATTAATTATAAAATAATTTAAGTTCTTTTACAACACAAATATATAATATCCAGCCAATCAGCGTATTTTAATTGACTAGCTGATCAATTAAAATATGCTGATTGGCTGGATTCAAGCCTCGTCCCCTACTCCCTAAACACCATCTACACAAAAGGGTGGGGGAGGGGGGCATATAAGCACTACCTTTACCCAAGGGAGCTCAGTATCAGAGTTCTCAGCCCTGATGATGCAAACTGCAACGTTTGCGAAACGTCGGCATATCGCTGATTCAAGACACGGCTCCATTCCGGAAGCTATATCTAGACATTGTATCAATGGCCGTGAAAGCCTCAAATCTAGTATTAAAAGCCTGCACGGAGAGGCTATCCTAGGGTCGGTAAATCTGTTTTCCAAACTCAGAAAGTCCTTGCATGTCCAATTATGCTCCCTAGCGTTTTTGAAACGGTGCCGCGACCATCATGTAGTACCGAAATTCTTTCAATTAAAAAACCCATTTCCATCTTCTAACCAGGCCAAAGGCATTCTACGACAAACGTCGTTGAGGTTAGTCAAAGACCGAATCTCAGCCACCAAGAAGAACTTGGCTGAGATATCCCAAAAACTATTAAAATTACATCTCTCTCTTGCAAAATCGTTGGAGCCTGAGCTGTGGCTGACACTGGATCGAGTTACTCACGAACAAGCTGTTCACTCAGCTGAGGCAAGAACACAAAAACAGAAGAGCAAGTATGATAAGATCAATCCACAGACTCAAATGCCAGTTCTCACACATACAGTTAAGAATCTTAGCGATCAAGACCTATCACCATCCGAAGTTGCTGTTCTAGCTAAGGGACACAATTTTGCTGTCACTCCTTCTAGTATCCCTACGGAAGAAATCATCAGCCAAATTGAAACGGCTATTTTCCACCTTCCTTTAGAGGCAAGCAATGACATCAGAAATCGAACAACCAACATCCTACGCAAAGCCAAACTTCCCAAACAAAATATAAACAAAGAAGAACGCCGAGCTCTCCACGGTTTGAAACAAAACAACAAGATCCTAATTTTACCAGCAGACAAAA